ACAAAAATATAAATAAGTTCATAATTAAACAAATTTCTTACAACAAAAAGTTCATACACATAAAAAGTCCACAAAAATATAAAACAAGTTCACAAAGATTAAAAAAGTCCATCAAAGATTTAAATATCAAAATTTAAGAACATGAAACTTCTTGAGAAAGCTTAGAATCATCAAGAGTAATAATCTTCTTTCCATTAACATATATTTTAGGGTTTTAAAACTAAAATATATTCCCTTCCAAACTCCTTAAAACTCAGAATTTAATCATATATATATATATATATATATATATATGGGCTGCCCGAACCTGCATGAGCTAACCCAGTTAAAGCCCTATCGAGTATCGGGCTTATTTGGACCGGGCTAAAATAGCCTAAGGTAATTTTGGATCTTATTTTTTATAGCTTAAACTCGCCCATTTAATTAGTTTTTTTGGCCCAATCTATCGGGCCAGCCCATTTTGCCGGCTCTAGCTGCATACCTTGGCATTGATCTTGATCCTCCTCTGAATGGATTGGATGATTGAGGAAGGAGTCAAGAGGAGAGAAGAAGTCTATCTTATTTATGTATTTTGTTTTGTATGCTTCCCTAACTATTATGTTACCCTGTAATGTTTAATAGTTTAATAATTTGGGAACAATTTAGATGGTATGTAATATTATGTTATGCACTTTGAACCTTATGCCTTATGGCATAACTTTATCGATTTATATATATTAAGTATGTTGGTGTGTACTTTATTTGGGATAAAGTAGTTGAAAAATATTTTGTATCCCTTTCTCACCATGAGAAATGGGATGACATTGAGAAATACCTATTAAAAGTAGGGACGTCTCAGCTATCCTGAGAAATCAAAGGGGTACAGATTCTATTGTCTTAACCTCAATGTGAGAATGTTGAGTCTGGTAATGTTCGGTTCATTGAAAATGGTCAATTTAGTGGGAGTAATGAATCATGAAAGGTGAAAATTAAAGAGACACACATGAAAACTTCTATACCTTGTATCTGTTCTCAATTTGTTGTTCATCTTGTTGTATCATAGTTACATAACATACCAAGACAACAATATTCCAAACCACAAGAACAACATATAAATAATGAGCCAACTAATGATGTACAAGTCACAAATGAGCAAATGGTAGATGAACCATAAGAGATAACATTAAAGAGGTTTGCAAGACAGAAAATACACATTATTTTAGATTATTACATAGTTTACTCACTTGAATATGAATGCGACTTAAGTAATGATGAGAGGATCTAGTCTCATTTTAGCAAGCCATAGAATGTAACAATTCTGAAATAGTGATTGAATGTCATGAAAGAAGAGTTAAAATCAATAGATGATAACAAGGTGTGGGAACTAGTCAAATTGCTTGAAGGTTCAAAATAAGTCAATTGTAAATGAGTCTTTAAGACAAAATGAGACTCAAAAGGCAACATTGAAAGGTGTAAGGCTAGACTTGTTACTAAAAGTTACACTAAAAAGGATGACATTGACTATAAAGAGACATTCTTTCTAATTTCAAAGAATGACTCTTTAAAAATTGTTATGGCTTTTGTGACTCATTATGACCTAAAGCTTCACCAAATAGATGCAAAAACTGTCTTTCTAAATGGTGATGTTCATGGGCAAGTGTACCCATGAAAAAGTAATAAAGGGTTTTTGAAAAGGGTTCCCAAGTTATCGTCCCACAGAGATTATTTTCAAGTACCAAGAATAGCTTGATTCGATTGTTTAAACGTAACGAGATTGTAAAATACCAAAATCAGAGCTTAATGTTAACAATAAATTAAAAGAACAGTAATACAATGTATGAGAGAGATCAGATGAGATGAGCCTAGGACTTATGGGTTCACCTACTATACTTCTTTATGTTCTAATTAATTTAATCCTGATATTGATATTCAAATACTTGCCAACCACTCATAATTAGTTCTATTAACACACAATGATTATGTAATGTCAATATTCTTTTCCCTGAACAAACACCTTCAATGATCATGCAAGATAGTTGGTCGAGAAAGTATGAAGACCCTATGAGTTTGTTAATTTAATAACGATTGAAAGAAATGAATTAAGTGTGATTAACATAATCTCCTTGTCTCGTTTTATCCTATAGTTCTGTTAATTATATGTGGTACGATCACCTATAATGCAACTAATTATGGAATGTTAAGGGTGACCAAATTTTAACATACACAATATAATCCAATAGAATAAGAACCAAACATTAAAGGAAAACTAATACCAAACATTAAAGTAAAAATCATACAAAGTTTGCAGTAGGATCCATCATAACCCTAGCTGTGGGTTTAGTTACTCATAACAAAATAAACCACGAAGAACATGATAAATAAACTCATAACCACAAAGAAAAACTCAAACAAAAGAAACCAAGAAAGGTAAAAAATGAAGAAAGTTATCGTTCTCAGAAGGGCGTTCAATCACTTGCTTGGACCCCAAGGGGAAGCTCGTTGTCCTGCCAATGGTCTCTAATGACTCTCAAAGATGAGTTTGGATAGAACTAAGAAGGGGAAAAAGGTGTGTAGAGAAGTGGAAGTGTCTCTAGTGTGGAGCATAAGGTCTCTTTATATAGGCTGTGTCATGAGTTTCCAGTCAGTTGAACTCTATCTTTTCAAATCGGTTTTATCCACAATCAGAATCGCTTCAAATCTATGTTTAAATTTTAAATTCAAAATTCAAACTCAACTTCACATAACACTGTCAAGGACTAAAAGTATCTAATTTTTATCTAAAATATCTCCATAATACACTAATGATAACTTTCAGCTAAACTGTAACAATTAAAAATATAATTAGTGTAAATATATATGAAATAGGGTTTAAGTGTATAAATATAAGTCATAAAATATATCAAAATATGAACTTATTAAGTAACTTAGAAGAAAAAATTTATATGTACCAATCAAATGGTTTCTTAACCACAGAAAAAGAAAATTTAGTGTATAAGTTAAAAAAATCAATATATAAGTTGAAGCAAGCTTCCAGACAATAGTATCTTAAATTCTATAATACTATAATGTCATATAATTTCATAAGAAACACTGTTGACCAATGTATCTATATGAAGTGTTTGTTAAAGGTTACACACAAGTTTTATTAGAGAATATTGTCGAATATAATTTATTTTAAAAAATTGAAACACATGATATCTTTTTGTTCAGGTAAAAATTTTTTTAGTATATTTACATTCATAATTTTAAATTAATTTTACTTTACCATTTAAATAATAATACCTAAATTTGAATAACTCATAATTTTATGTAATGTTTATCATTTAAAAATATGAAGAACGACTAAAACAAAATGATAAAGGATAATTATGATATTAAACATAAATATTAAATTTATTTTAACATAAATTTAAAACTTTTCAAGAACTCATTTACATTTTAAAAACTTACGAAGTTACCTGTGTTGCATTATGTTATAGGTAAATAATCTTGATCAATGAATTATTTTATTACTTTATCAATAGTTAATATAATATGGAGCATGGAAGCACTTATTTTATCAAGTAGCATTGCAGAAGTAACTCAAGAATATGAATTATAATATATCTACCTAAATGCGTATAAGCGCCATTCTTATACCTAACTCATTAGTTGAGTTTTTATTACAAATGAAAAACAAAAAAAGTAACATCCAAAAACACAAAGATTGTGTTCCGTAATTAATTAATAACAAAACAATAAAAAAAATAATGTTTTGTTAAGAAATTATAGAAAAATAACGGACCATTTGTTTAAAAAATACTTTCTATTTTCACTGATACATTGTTTTTATTTTAATACTTGTATAGAAAACAGCGAAAACATTTTTATTAGCTTTGCTATTTTAATTATAAAATGTTAAAAATAAAATTTTTTATATTAAAAAATATTAACTTCAATTTTTATAGTAGTTAATTTAAGTATCTAAAAATAGTAAAATTTAATATATATATATATATATATATATATATTTTTTATAACTTCAATATAATAAACTTGTTTTTTAATATATTTTTTTTAATTTTTTTATGCTGAAACTTAGTTCTAAAAATTGAGACTAAAAATATCTTAAATTTATTAATTTTTATAAAACCAAACGCCCTTAAATATTTTTCAAAAAAGTTACTCAAAGCACACCGCAAGACGGGAAGCTCACGTGGCGAAGAAGACGTGATCATGGTGTCAAACCAAAAAGAGCCATTTGAACTATGTGCCAAGGTAAATGAGTTATTTGAATCTTAACTTTAAGATTTGAAAGAGAGTGGCTTTTCAGGCTCTAACTTGCTGCAAGCTTTAGAAGCGTTTACCTTTACAATTAAAGAATTTAGTGCTTTACTCCTTTATCAATGCTAGAAATAGTACCTCATTGTTGTGTTCTACATACAAAATTATTTTTAATTTGCCTATCTCATCTTTCTCTTTGAAAATAGCCTTTCCTATCCTAAAGTGCAGCTCAAACGGAAGAAACATCTTTCCAATTTCAGATTATATGAAGATAAACTTTATAAAAGCATTTATTATCAATCCAAAATTGTGGGATGCTATTGACAGTAATTTATTCAGTTTTGAAGGTAGTACAAGGAATGATAGAAATTACAATCTGCAATTTAACGGTGACCTTTATGTACCCAAACAATAAAAAAGGGTGAGCTTTGTCTAAAGGGTTTCTAAATATGGTCAATAACCTGAACTTAGCTTGGTTTTCAGGCAATTCTTAAAGATGGGAAGCCAAACTAGTCAGAACAAAAAGTGTAATGTGTATAGAGGAACACATGCGACTTGTAACACTGAATCGAAGAAATATTCTTTATAATTTATATTCACTATTTACACAGACATTAGGATGTGAAGAGGCACAATTAGCCCACTTGGCTCCTCATGATGGATTAAAAGTTAAAACCCTTTCTAACTAAGAAAAATCAATCTTCATAAATCAATCTTAACCAGAATCTCAATTGCCTGATTGACAAATAATTACACAATTACCTCCCTCTTTTTCTAGATTTCCCTTGGGAATTGTTGATGGAGAAGAGCTTCTTCATGACCTTGACAATGACCACCATACCAGGCTTGTTCTTGGTAGGAATTAATGCACTATTATTGGTCTTGGCAACAGTTAATGGGGGAGCACATCTAAATTCAACCACTTCCCTTGAAGAAGAGGTAGCAGATCCTGTTGTTGTAGACAACTCCTCATTGAAATCCTCCCACAACAAGTCCATTCTGTCCAACTCCTCCTCATAATCATTGCATAGTCCAATTCTTTTCCTACAATTTTCAACATATGAAAAGCTCTTTCTCCGGGCCTCAGCTGCTAGTTTTGCACCCATGCACTCACTTTCTTCTCCTTTCTTTTCTTGGTAGGGATTAGGAGAGGCTGCTGGTGACAGATTCCAAAGAGGTGGAGAATCAATGTTGTGTGCACAAGTATCAGTGATTCTTGGGAAGCTGAACTCCTCTGTATCCATGGTTTGGCTAATCACCACTTTGTATACAATATTAGAGAGATGCAAAAAATTGCGTGTCTTTGGGTTAGGTTTGGGAGGGTGGGCCTAGAAGTTGTTTTTAAGAGGGTTTTAGTTCAACTGCTAAAAAATCATACACTTTCTTATTCCCTACAAACTAAGAATGATGTCTAGAAGAAAGTTATTAATACATTATTTAAACCAGAGAATTTAGGTGTATTTTCAATTATAATTAAAACTTTATCTTGATAGGTCCTATAATAAAGATTTATATTTAAGATTGGTACAGATTATTAAGATAAAATTAAACTGTCCATGCTACTTTTAGTACAATTTTTAAATTAAAATCTATTGAAATTCAATAATTTGTTGAAACTTGTAAAGCGCACACTCTCTCTCTATGCTCAATTTGCATTTTCAAGGAAGATCTTGGCCACTAGTAGGTAGGGCAGGGTCATGCGTGCCTAAACATGACCAAAGCCAATACAACCCACTCATTCCACTGCTTAATTTGTTATGAAAACAATAATTGACACAATATCTATTAAAGAAAGTGAAGTGAAAGTGAGAAAATGACAAACCCAGAAAATTATTTTTCCATAATTATGTAAGAGGGTACCATATTTGTCCTTCCTTAATGATTAAAGGTTGATCAAATAAATGTAACTAAAGGTCTCAAGATGTGATGTGATGATTTCTATAACGTAGATAAGTAGCCTACACCTTTAAGGGCAGCTAAGGGATGCTTATTATCGCCGGATTGATAGGAGGAAGTGATTTCTATGCTAGTTAATTTCCAAGTAGTGGTGTTGACTATTTAAGGCATGAAAGGGATATGGCGCCACTAGGAGTCTTAGACAACTCGTTCAATCTCTATAGGCTGTGTTACATCACTTGTGTGATGGGGGCTCCACAGGGCCAGTTGTCACCACTTTTTCAGTTTGATGGTGATCTTCAGTGACACGTTACGCAGAGTGCACAAATTGGGATGCGCAAGAAACAAACAGTTCAAATGAGGCATTGTAAGTTTAAGAGTATAAACCAAGTAAACGGTGTTTGTCTAATGTGCCAACCAATTTGTTTAGAAACGAAATGGGTTTTAGGCTTCTTTTCTACGCTCAACAATTGTGGCCATTGGATTTTGCTATCGGAACATGGCTCCTGATTTAGCCTCCCACAGTTAATGAGGGATGACAAAACGCACTGTGCACATGACCAACCAAAATATAACTAGTTCTCACCAACCAGTTCAACATTTTGTCTGCATGCTTTGCCTCATCTATTAAAGTGAACGGCTTCTGCTCCTTAATCATTCAGTGCCAATACTGAAGATTTTTTTTAGAGGAGAAACGAACAAATATGAGAGAACCATTTATGTGTTCATCAAGAAAGCTACAATTCCCACTAGTTAAGTTATTTATATAATATTGTTTTTATCCTTATTAAAATAGCGTCATTTAGAGTGATTTTTTTTAAAAAAATATTATTAAAAAATATTCAAAATTAATTTCTACCGTTAATTGTCAAAGTGATAATTATATAACATAAGAGTACATTTCACCGTTATCACGTCATTATTTTAAAAATATTTTAATATTTATAAATTAATATTTATAAAAAAATCATTAAAAATATTTAATTATTTTTAAAATTAATAATTGATCTCCTAACAGTTTGTTCAACCTCTTTTACTTTTTTGATTTTTTTTCTATGACGGTAGCACAATTGCAAAGGTGAGGATTTTTTAATTAAATAATATAATTTTAAAAAAATATTCAATTTGCCATATTTTAAAAACTAATTTCTTGTTTAGGGTTTTTTATCCCCACATCATACAGTGTCTCGTTATTGTTATGAGCGATGACAATTTTTATTTTATTTTTTTAACGTAGTATCGCCTTGTTCAATCTGATATGTGGTCAGAGCTTAACACGTGGTCACTATATCGTTCACTCCTGCATGTACGCAACAACTTGAACGACTAGGATCTGGTCACGTGGCATTCACAGCAAAGTATCATCAGTAAAAGAGCTGATACTTCAATCATTAGTCAAAGTACGATATTTTTGTCTTCTGGCCTCAATACCCAATAAGCTAAAAAGGTGTGTCAGCTGAATTCTTTTTAGTTTCTGAAATTTTTATTTTAAGTGCATGAATCAAAGGTTGATGATTTTAATATTTATAATTATAATTTTATTATTATCATTAATTGATAAATTAAGAAATGTTGTAATAAAAAATGTTTAAATTGATTGAACTAAATTAACTAATAAATTAATGACACTAAAATTTAAAATTATTATTCTGTTATCTATATTGTGTTTAGTAAGAAGGTAAAATTTTACTAAGTATTAAGAGAATTATTCTTTAACTTTTTCACTAATTTCTGAACCTAAGTTTCAATAGCAGAAAAATGGTTTGTCATCTCCAAAATAAGAAAATGACTCAATGAATTAAGAAAAAATATTTTTACTAAATTCTCCATCTGTTGTCCCTCCTTCCACTACAACGAACTTTAATCTATAAGTATTTTACACCCCAAATATAACTATGAATAAGAATTTGGGCAAGGTTCTGTGTGTACTTAGGGTAGGGTTCTTCTTCAACACAAATGAGGAATTGTGGCAAAAAGAGCTTGGATCATAGTTAGATCGTTTCACTATCAGAGGTGCCATAACAACTTCCTAAAACAATGTCATTTTTATCAGGTGAGATTCTGACGTAACATTTAACGTAACAACTCGGCCTTCCGTCACATTTTCTTAACGGGATCTGATGTCAGAGACTAAAATGAACGACAGAGAAGAAAGTTGGGGACTAATATAATATTTTAAATGTCTCAGGGACTAAAATGTTAAACTCAAATTCTCTCAGGGACTAAAGTAAGAGTTTAGTATTTTATTAATAATAGTTAGAGATTAATTATTGATGACATGAATCAGATAATTAAATTTTTCTATATTATACATATGTTGGATGTGAAATGAATGGTTTATGATAATAGATAAATAATTTAGGATAAATTTGTTGGTGTAGAATGACTAAATTTGTGATATTGTACATTGGAGTGGTTGGATTTTTTCAAGTAATGAAGGTATTACCTTTAAAGGAAATGAAAAGATGATTAAGATTGAACGTGAGATAAGTTGACATGTTGAAAGGAAAGATTCATACAAGACTAAAATTGTCATACCAATCAGGTTATATCTAGGTTGATTTCACAATTTTTAGTAGATTTAATTACTAAACAATACAATGGATGTATATGATGATGAAAATGTTGATTGCATGTTAAGTGCTTATTTACATTAAAATCAAAGAAATACAATTGAGTTATATTCAGATATTGCATTTGGTAAAAGTCCTTCTATTCGATTACAAAGAGTCAACTTAAATTTATCATTTGGACATGATAATATTAGTGATGATGATCAACCTCAATTGGAAGCGGGTATATATTTATGGTTACTTTTATTAAAAATTTTATTTAATTTCATAAAATATATGTTTACCTAACAACAAATTTAATGGGAATGTAAAAAGTGAATATGAGGATGAAGACGTTAATGATGACAAAAATGAATGAAAAATTCCATTGATAGTTCACTTAATACTGATTTGGAAGAAGATTTTGATTCAATGTTTAATATAGTGGACAATCTTCAAGAAAGAGATATTTATAAAGATGAGAAGATTAATTTTTGCTAATTGATAAATAAAAGAAAATAACTTTATTGTATGGTTATAATGCAAGTATGGTTGAAACTCCTTTTTGGAATGCAAGGTCATACTATCCTTATATAAATTAGGAACATGATCAAAAAATGAAAAATTTTGATTTTCATGTTGATGTTGGGCAAGTGTTTGAATCTAAGACGATATTAATATGACTATTAAATATTTTACAATGAAAATAAATCAAAGTTATTTCATAATAGAGTCAAAACTAACAAAGTTGCGTGTGAAGTTTGTAAAATATCTATGACCAATTATCTATAGTGGCATGTGGAATGTGTGTTTTAAGCTTCCATCTTTCAACCAATGCAATGGTCAAATGTCTATTTAGTAGAAAGTTGGTCAGTTGGGCAACTCTAGCAAAGCTAGTAAGCTCCAAATGAAGAAGAATCTTTGCTAGAACACTCTCTAGGATGGTTGGTATGAACTAACTCTTCTTCACCTTTAAAATTAGATGATCTCAAGCATTCCAAATATGTTTTGATACATGTATATTTTAAAAACATAATAAAGATGAATCCTTTGACCCCATATTAATAACCATAACTTGTGACAAAGATGAAGTCATCTAAAAAAGATTTTGTAAAATAAATATAAACTATAATTAATATTAAGATGTTAAATTAATATAAAATTATCAATAACTGCAATTATTAAATATTATATTCTAACATTTAACATGATAGTTTAAATAAAATACGTACAATTCTTCATTTTTTTATATAATTATATTAAATTTATATGGAACTTTTATAAACAAATATTTTTATAAATTATTTTTAGTAACTACTAATACTAAACTTGAAATCTAAATTCATTAAGAATTATTATTATTTTTATAATTCCTATTTATTCTAATGTCATATAATTCCAAAATATATCAACGTTATATCAATTATACTTATTATAACAAATTTGTTTATTAAAAACCAAAACTACAATCAAATTTTATTATTTATGCATAATTAAGTCAACTAAAATTAAAATTCTTATTTTCATAAACAATTATCATATTTAAAATTTAATTTCTACCTTCCTAATTTCGTCTACTAAAATTCTGTCTAACAATTCAACTCTATTATATAATTGCATTAAATTTATAAGAAACTTTAATAAAAAAAATTATTCTAAATTATTTTTAGAAACTTGTAATACTAAAATTAAGATTTTAATTTTAATTATATCACTATTATTTTTTTAATTCCTAATTTTAATAAGTCAAATAATTTTAATTTTAATTTCAATTTTTATGCACTTTATATCAACTATTAACTCAA